AAACGAAAATTTATAGCGACACAAATGTTATAGCATATTAAATAGTACTCCCTCCGTCCCATTTTATGTGGCAACATTTGACCGGGCACGGAGTTTAAGAAATAAATGAAGACTTTGAAATGTTTACCAAATTGTCCTTTTAAAAAGTAGACTCAATTTCTCTCTCCTCATAAATGTATTGGAGTATTATTTTAAGATTAAGTGGAACCAACAAGGATAAAAAAGGAATTGTACCTTTAAATACTTTCCATATAAGGAAATGTGACATTCTTTTTGGGACTGACCAAAAAAAAAATGTTGCCACATAAAATGGGACAGAGGAAGTACGTTATTAAAGGAGGAAATAAACATATAAATTAATACAGTTTGGGTGTATTAATTCAAAAGGGCAAATAAGTACTGTGTTAGTTTAATTTGACACAATTTGAAATGACACAAAATTTACGAAAGGAATAATTTTTCTTGAAATTTATAGCTTTTTTAAGCATGTCTAAGATTTGTGTAGCTATAAAATTTTCGACATTTAACTCTTAAATGTGTCATATTCGTAACATTTGTATGTGGTATAAAAGTGTAAATCGTAAAGTATTAAGCTAGTTGTTTCTAAATTTAGAAATATTGTGTCACATAAATTAGAATAAAGTGAGTACTGCTCCGATTCCTTTGATTCAATTTAAGGAGTTGTTTGGTGGGATGTACTGAAGAAACTAATACTATTTACGTAATTATTTGATAGGATTTCAATCTATGTTATACACCTTATATATAATAGGTTGTATAACTGATACATAGCAAATTATGGTATCATCAATGTATAATACATGAATAAGCATGATCCAAAATAAATTTTTCATACACCAAATCAAACAGTGGATAAATAACAATTCAGCATTACTAATTTCAACGTTACCAACACATCTTACTCAGTACTATTCTTATAACTTTACCAAATGATTCTTAAGTATCATAGTTTGACTAGACACGAAATTTATAAAAATGAAGGAGACTTTTGAATAGTATGGTCTTTGACACCATAAAATACAAAAGATTCACTTACTTTTTAAAATTTTATGTCTAATCAAATTAAGACACGTAAAATAAAATGAAGAGAGTATATAGTAGTACTCCATTTCAATATTCTTATAGGAATCCTTTAAGAAACGATATGGGCTAATGAAGTGTGGGACTCATATTAGAATTAGGAGTTCAGCGTTACAAACTTTTTTATTTTCATATCAGAGAGTTCTTAATAATATTTATGTTACGAAAAAAATACGAAAAATAGTGATGAAGATGGAGATATATACACTGACCTTCTCTAAAGAAGTAAGTAGAGCTCTGTGAAAGCATGAAGCCCTTTGGATGATCATGTTGCACAAGAAAAAATAATATTGTTGGAGATATTATTATCCCTAAAGTCTAAAAAAAACTTTATATTAAAATGCTAAAAATGAGAGAGGACTTGAACAACAAAACACAAATATATGAAGAAGTTATGGAGAAGGTGTACAAAATAAATAGAACATGCAGTATTTTAATTTAGCTAGCTGTCTATTCGTGTACTAAGCTTTATCTTTATTATACTCGCTCCGTCTCAATTTATGAGATAGATATTTGAATGAACACGTAGTTTTAATAAAAAAAAGAAAAATGACTTTTGAAATTTATAGTCTGAAGATTGAAATAAACTATAGATATTTATATGTTTATAAATTATTATTTCAGTACAATATAATTAAATTATTATTAAATATAAAAATATATCATTTTTAAAATAAAAATAAAAATTGAAACATAGGTGTATGGCTTTTTTTCCCATATACTCTGAATCTTTTTCATCAGCCCCCCACCAGCCCAACTGTAATTAGGTGAAAATAATAATCATTCATTGTTAACAAACAAAGAAAAATAAAATCATTTCTTTCATTTTCAAGAATATTTATGCTATATCGAATCAAATTGAGTAGGATCGAAAATTTACATGTTCTCCATAGAAATTTAGCAAAATAAGAGAAGGTATGAGATATTGACCGATTATTTATTTAAATTAATTTATCTCTACCTTCATAATAATTCTATGAACAAAACAAATAATACTTTCAATATTTTATTGATCTTTTATTTTGTCCTTGACTTTTTATTTATTATTTATGATATAGGACAAACAAGAGAGTATGTAAGGTTAGATTATGCAGTATAACCAGACAAATAAAAGATAAATTTGAATAATAGGGTATTTTGTCTATATATATATATTAGTAACTATATACTTAATACTTTCTCTATATATTGGAAATAATAGTTACGCTTTTTACTTTAAAAAAATAGTTAATATTTGAGAACGTCACGCGACATGTCACAAATAAAAGTTTGCCATTTTTATTTTTTTAGAATTTCAGAATCCCCCCCACCCTCCCCTCGGAGCTTATCTAGAGGGGGTGCCGTGGGTTCACGTGAACCCATGCTCCCCTCTCTAGATTAGTGTTATATTTTTAAAAAAATATTTAACTATAGATGTGTGAACCCACATTCAAAGTATCATATAATAATACGATAATGATTAGGTGCACCTCTCTAAGTGAGGATATAAATTTGAATCTCTTATATATCTTGTCATTTTGCGTAACACCTCTCCAAGTGGTTATCGGTAACATTTTTGGCGTTTCCACTAATTTTTCTTTTGTTTTTTCCTTTAATCTTTCAAAATTTTCAAGTGTGTTACATTGAAAATTCATAAAAATTTTAGCACTGTAAAAAAATTTATATAATTAAATCAAACGTGTATAGTAAAATTTAAAACTAGTAGTATTATATGTTTTGGACCTATATTTTAAAAAAATAAATTAATGGTTCATATTAAGAGCCTAGAAGTCAAATTTATCAAATTTATATTTAAGATACATTTTTTTTGTTATCGTGCACCCATCTTGCCGATATCCTGGATACACCTCTGCGCACCCCCCCCCCACCATTTGTAGGTCATCTTGTTAAACTCCCAATTAATATAGCTTTAAATAAAGGGAAAAGGGACAAATATACCCCGAACTATCGTAAATGGTATGCAGATACCCTCCATCATACTTCTAGGACATTGGTGCCCTTTTTGTCCAAAATCTGAAACATATATACCCTTTATATTAACGGACATACACGTGTCATAATCTTATCCACCAATTTGACATTTATTAAATATCGGATGGACGGATAAGATTGTGCCACGTGTCCCTATTTAGTCTTCTGTTAGAGTGAAAGACATATATGCTCTAATTTTTAGACGGCATGGGCACCAATGTCCCAAAAGTATGACGGAGGATATCTGCATACTATTTACGATAGTTCAAAGATATATTTGTCCTTTTTCTCATAAATAAAAGAAACTCTTACTTAAAAAAAAACCCTCTATTCCCTTAATATGTAGCTTATAAGGGAAAATAAAATCCTTTTTATTACTATTTTGTCCATTACTTCTAGTAGTTTTGCAACCACATAAGGTTAGCTAATGCATACAATGGCAAATTCAAAATTTTATTAATTAAAAGTTAAAAAAATTAAAATATAATCTTATCTTAAGGTGAATTTTGAATTATTTAAACCAATATTTTTTATCAAAAAAATTCAGGTGAACATCCTCTTCCTCTCTTAAATCCATCCCTAATTAAACATAAGGATATTGAATAAAATAGAATTAAGATGATGATATATAATGTCACGTGATATTCATCTCACCCACGTGATAACATCTCACGGATGAATTGAAGGAGCATTTTTAACAATTTATTTTAAAAAGTAAAATAAAATGAGGGCATACTAATTTTTTTTTGTAAAAATGCTAAATTTAACCCTTTTCTTTTATTAAAAAAAAGTACAAATATATAAGTCCTTCATAGTATCAGTATCAGATAACCATTAAAAGGCAATAAATGTTTGAAGAAAAAGTTAGATTCATGCATGTTGTGTTGTCTGTTTTGTCCCTATAACCATTTACGTTTGGGTAGGTGGATCTAGTATTTTGCATGTAAATTCGATTAATTTAATAGATTTTATTCAAAAAAATGTATTAATATTAGTAAATTTATTAAATATATATAAATTTAATACTATTTTGTTCACTTTTAAGTATCATAGTTTTATTTTTTTAGAGTCAAACTATAAAAAAAAATTGACTAACATTTTATAATGTATTTTTTCATCATATTGATATGTAAAAAATTAAAATTTATAGTACTTTTCGTATAATTGTTGAATATCTAAATTTTTTTATTTAAAATATCAAATTAATGCATCTCTTTTCCATCTTTGAAGGTAAAATTTTATCTATATCGACACTAAATATTTACATCTAATCAATAGATACATGCCATGTGTATAAATATACAATAACATTATTTAATCATAATTACTTAATGTATAGTATTCACTTCATTAACTTACTTAACAATAGTAAATTACATTAAATTAAACATTTGGTGAGAATAAAACGGGCCTCTTTCTTTGAATTTTGCAGTCATGTCATCTGTGGTCGAAATGGTTAGGCCCTTCAATTTGGAGTTGTATTATAATTAATTAATGGAGCAAGAACAATAATTATGTACCTTATAATAGTCGGAGCAAAAGTTATTGATTTTATTATCAAAAGAAACAATTCAAAGTCTATTTGGAGTCACTAGGAAACAAAGTGTTTTTCCACAAACTAAATACTTATTTTCGTTAACCCATAATTAATAGGCCGTAATTATTCCTATTAATTAGAGAGAGTTATGAATACATATCGTTCAACTAATTAATTTATTAATATGATTGAAAAATATACTATATATATTTTATAAATTAATTGATCGTCAAATATTAGGCTAATACACTTTTTATGGTCCACACTCTACTGCGACAACTAGGCTAGTTGTTTTGCCTACTTGCAATAAATTTTTGTGTTAGCAATCTCTTACAAAGGATCAACTTCAAGAGAATGATTTAGGATTTTTGTCGAGTGAAATCATGCAATATCATACTTTACTAATATTTTAGTATATTCTAAACTATATTTTACTTGGCAAGAAGTTCAATAAATCTCTACGATCCAGTCCCTCTTGTCCTCAATAATACCTCTTTGAATTTCAATTAATCTTGAGCACAATTTCTTACTTGTTAGCTTTTCCTTGTACTCAATCCTGTACAAGAAAAAAATACAAAATTCAAATTAAAAAAGAAAATTAACTTATATAATTATGCATAAAAATAAAATAAAGAAAAATAAAATAGAAAAAGGAAAAATAAGTACTAATTGACTGGCATGCATGACACATCGTTATCTTTGCATTGATCATGTTAAATGTTTTTTATTAAATGAAGTGTCAGTTTTCTGCAAAGAATTTAATTTGTTATTTTCTATCTCAAATTAGTTGTCATATTTTATTTTTGAGAAATAAATTATATTAATTTTGATCAATATGCAACTTTTATCATAATTAATACGTGAGGAAAATTGCTATATGAAGTGTGTACTTTTTATATAGTTCTTATATATATAAAAAAAAAATTAATTTCCCAAAAAAGCACAAAGCATGGCAATTAATTTAGAATGGGTTCGGGCTAGGAGCGTTGTTCACAAATATGCCCTACAATGAGCTTTTTGAATTTAGTCGAGGTTTCAATACAAGAATCTGAGTGAAAATCAATTACTATTATTTTTAGAATGGGAGTACTAGTTAGTAAAAACATTAAAGGAAAAAATATAAAGGGTAATGCTAAATGACTAGAAAATTTGGCTAGAAAATTAAAAAATCTATAATATTTTTTTATTTTAAAATAAGCTAATCTTTTTTTCATTTTTTAGTTAAAAGGTATTAAAGTTAAAAAGGTAAAAATGTTCAAAAAGATTAAATAACATATGTAAAATACCATTATGGCCAAATTTTCTGGCCAAAATAATATACGTAAAATACCATATGTCCCTAATTACTTGTCCAATTATCCTTTTTTAATTGTCCCATTTTACTTTTCTGATCAAGAAAGGACAATTTTTTTTACCTATTATATCCTCAATTAATTAGTTTTGATTAAGGTAGAACTTCTTGAAAATCATTTTTTTAATTCGTCCACTTCATAATTAATAGGGATAAAATGCTAAACTTACTGTGTCAAATTAACTTAATTATTTTGGTACCTTTTGCCTTTATAAGTGATGCTACCTACTGAAGCAATACCAACAGCAGTTCCAGTACAAAATACTTCATCAACATTATTCAATTCCTCCACTTCAATTAAACGTTCTTCAACCTGTACCACATTGGCAACAATTTTTTTTTAAAATAAAAAAAATAGAATTTTTTTTTGAATATCAAGTTAATTTGTACTTAATAAATTAATTAATATCTTTATTAGTTGCTTGAATAATAATTAAAATTAAAAAATAAACCTGGTAACCAAGATCATGTGCAATTTCCATAATACTTTTTCTTGTCACTCCTTCAAGAATAGTTCCACTTGTTGTTGGAGTTGAAAGGATATTTCCCTATGAATATATATGGTTTTTCAATATTTATAATCAACACGTAGATATTCAAAAATTATATGAAAAATATAATAAGTTATAATTTATTCATAATACGTACGTACAAAGAAAGAATGTATTTTAAAGGGAAAAGGGTTCGGAATATATCCAAACTTTGACTGAAATTGCTGTAACAATCTCATACTTTGGGCAGGACCTATTACCTCTGCATTATTTAATAGTATATTTAAAGATATATAGGTATCCACGTGGACATCATAAATATTGCATCATTATAAATAGTAACATGTCCAGCTGGACACTTATATATCTTTAAAATACACTATTAAATAGTGAGGGGTAATAAGTCCTTCCCAAAGTTTGAGATTATTACAACAATTTCGGTCAGAGTTCGGATATATTTCAGACATTTTCCCCTATTTTAAAGTATTAGTCAAAGTTTACCTAGTTTGACTCTCGAGAAATGAAAATTAACTGATCATGTGATAATCAATGTTAGGAATATGTACCTTCACTAGGAAAATGTTACAAGAAGAGACCTCTTCAATGTATTTCTTATTTATAGAGTCAAGGTATAATACATCTGAGAATCCTCTGTCTTTTGCACTTTTTATGGCTCTTAAAACCTGCACATATTACATAACATTATCTCAAATATATAATCTTTGTCTCAGTTTACGTGAAGGTGTTCGGAGTACGAGAATCAAAGTATTCAATATACGGTGTGAATTGAGCATATGTTCTTTAGTAGTTTGACTTAGTAATATTAGTGTCGCATATAATAAGACAGATGAAATTTGAAGGAAACTATATTTTACCGGGGCATAATTAGTAATGCTTTTGACACCTCCAGCTCCACCACGCGAGGCGCGATGAAGGTCTTCCTCAACGTACAAGTTCAATGACGATGTCCCTTCCTACATGAAACTCGCAAAAAATGTTACTAGAAATTGAAATAGTGGATGCAAGTGCACTTATTGATTTCTGCTCGAACTATATTTATAATATATTTGAAAATTTTGACTAACCTTGAAATAATTTCCAACAGGACAAGCATAGACAAGGAAAGTGTACTCTGGTGCTGGAGCCAAACCAAGAATTGGTCCACTTCCTATAAGCAAAGGCCTTATATAAAGAGACCCTTTTCCATGAGGAGGAATCTACACTTATTTCAATAAATAAATAAACAGCTTTATTAAATAGTAATTCCAAAATTAATCTAAAGAGCTATCAAAAAAAAAAAAAATGAAATTAGCTACAAGTTTTGTGGCTAATCTGTCGTTAAATAGCTCATAACTACAACCTTATGGAACAAGATATATGTTCAATAGGCTCGTAGCAATGTATCCCAGAGACAACTAGAATTTTCACTAAGGGGTTCAAAATATGAAGAGGTACACATGAAGAAATCACAGGGTGTCTAACGATATATATACATATAAAATAATTTTTAAACATATATAAATAACATAATTTTCTGCCAAAGGAGTTTCAGATGAACCCCTCGGCCCTACTGGTCTCTGCCCCTGTTGTATGATCAAGGAGACAAGGAAAACAAATCTAGTAGATGAACTATGGCCAAGTGACTAGAGTCAAAGGTAGAGTCGAGATTTGAATCATATCAATTCAAGATTTTAGCCCTTTTGAATTACTAAATTCTAAATTACAATAATTTATGCATATTACGTAAATTTCTTAAGACAAATACAAAAATTTAACCAAAATTACTTAATTCTGCCTCATCCATTTCCTACACTCTAGCTTCGCCTCTGACTACAACATGATTAACGGTCCCATGGCCCTCTAGTGGGGTCATAAGAAACAACAAAACAAAAAAGCCCCTATCTAACAAGATTCTTTGATAAACCCCGCAACATAAGTTGTCTGTTACTAATTCCTTGTTTTATTTTTTTTCGTAGAGTAAAATATAGTTTGAAGTCAAAGAAAAATTACAAAACGTTTATTAGCCAGAGCAGTTTGTTTCACAGCATCCAAAAATTGATCAATTGAAGGACAAGGCATGCACATTCTTTCAGCACCAATTTGCATTCTAATTGCATTTTGGTTAGGACGAAATAGAAATAAACGTCCATCATCTCTTCTATATGCTTTTGTACCTTCAAAAATACCCTGTTTCAATGAAATTATCGTCAATAAAATCCATCACTAATTCTATTTAACGACATATTATCATAATTTAGCTACAGATTAATGACGAAATACCTGTCCATAGTTTAACACACCAGCTGAGGGGCTTAATTGTATATTGCCATAGGGATTAAGTTGGCCTTGTTTGAAATGACCATTTTCACAACTTTTTGTTTGGTACATAAAATCAGTTGGAATTAAATTAAACCCAAGATTCTCCCAATCAATGTCAATATTGGACTCATCATCACTAACATTAATTAAAAAATAATAATAGTCAAAATTAGTGATTTTTTTCCAACAATTATATATATGTTATTTCCTCTAAAATGCATAAAAAAAATATCAAATGCAACATACCTTTGTACTATAGTTTGTATAAAAGATGTAGAGTACCTGGCTCCAAACTAAAATCACAATAACCATAAATCTCTAGTCAGCTCAATATACGTATTTTCACTGTTTTTGACTTGAACTGTGTACAATTAATAACGTCCATACCAATTATCACGATGAATTAGCATGTTTGGTTAAATATTTAACAGGAAAAATACGATTACTAACCTTTGATGGTAGAGAAGAAGATTCAATTAATTTGTGAAAAAATGCAGCTCTTTGATTCATGTTTAATTGCAGAAGAAGAATACAAGAAGGATGTAAATGTCAAAGTAGATATATGTAGGAACGATGTAATAATTTTTGTAAAAAATAAAGCAAGTCTATATATAGAATATTAGAGAAGAAAAAAACAAAAAAGGCCAAAATATGGGGAAAACTTTATGTTTAAGGATAGTACAATCCCATGATGAGGACATCGCGTGTATTTTAATTTATTGATTTGATGTAAATATGAATAATTTTTTTTTTGAATTTTTATGCAAATAGTCGATCGAATTATACTCGCAAGATATATTAATATGCATTTATTATATATTTATCAACTAATTTTTAATATATATTTTTATCAACCTATGTTTTGTGTGGTATCAAGGGAAAGAAAAAGGGTTGAATTGCAAAATATTCTTATACTTCTACCCATTTCTTTTTATATGATTTTGTTTGACTAGACATAAAATTTAAAGAAAATTTGTATTTGAATATAGAGCTCTTGAATAAATCATAATATTTGTGGGTAAGACTTTTAAAATTAAACTTGTACTAAATCATATGTCTCCAAATATACATTCTAAAAGTTGGAGTAGTACTTACCTAGCAATTGAAGTTGAATTTGAGTGTCTGTTTATATATTATGTCTAATAATATTTCTAAAATCACAAAATAATATTTCTTTCGTCTCAATTTATGTACCACAATTCATTTTTTTCTATTTTGATCGTGATTTCAGACCTACAATTTTTATTTAATTTTTGAAAAATAATTTACATATTTAAAATAATATAATAAGTAATCAAAGATCTCGATTTCGAGTCCACGAAAAAATCCTTAGTAGATAGCACTACCTTATACAAATCTGAATTAATCAGACTACAAAACGAATATCAGACATCAAAGAAAAAATCAATCCTCGAAAAAAAAAGGAAAAAGTTTTCTAGATCTAGAATAGAATATGATGCAAATCTTCACGTTATGGAGATAAAATCCTAGCATTAATTATTAGTGTAGTAGATATAAATACATTAGGGTTCATTTTGAGAAATTTTCCTATCCATTATAGGCTAGGCTAGGCTAGGTAAAAGTAAGTAGAATTTTTTGTCAAATAATTTGCCCATTCTTTTGTCGATAAAACAAGTGACAATTAGGGTGTGTTTGGTATGAAGGAAAATGTTTTCCTAGAAAATGTTTTCTTGGAAAACAAGTTGATTTTTGACTAATTTTCTCATGTTTGGTTGGTGATTAGAAAATATTTTCCGGAAAAGATTTTTAGTGTTTGATTTATGAATGAAAAATATTTTTGAGAAATATCTTTTATTTTTACTAGAGTAGAAAATAATTTTTGAAATTGAAAACATTTTTTAAAAACAAACTTAAATATTTTTTTTGGGGGTGGGGTGGGGGGCTGGTAGGGGGTGGGTCGAGGGTAG